ATGAAACTGAAAAGTGGAGAAGACTTGAAGGCATCTGGGGGAAATCAAGAAAGCAAGGGGATGACAGCAGTGAATGCTCTCTCTTCTCAAGCAAAGCAAATCTTTTTCTCACTGGTTAGACTCTGATTTAGATCAAGAAAAAGCACCGTGTCTCCACTGCACAACCCTGTGTGATGAAATGGTTACTGATCTAGCTCCTAAACTGGAAGGATGTCAGCAGCACCAGCCCCATACTGACACTCTTCCTGAGAGCCAGGACTGACAGCTGAAGAGCCAGGACCATGGCACTGCCGTCTGCGGTGTGGTCTGGTGTCAGAGCACAGCCACAGACTGGCAGTGCCTTGGGATGGCTGGCACAGCCCGACACTGCAGGGAGAAGGGTGGCCCCAAGGGCAAGCACAGGGAATCAGCAGAGCTTCACTAGTTGCTACTCAGGGATGCACACATGGCCTGAAGGGGAAGTCTGTGTGGCAGTGGCAATATGGTAAACTCCTCAAGACTAGCAGAAAAATCCATGTGAAACCGCTCCTTCGTCAGGAAAAAGAACAAGATGATGCATCTGAAATCATACATAGCAGCAGGTGCTTCACACGCTGGTGGCATCGGTGACACGCACAGAGGCACCAAGGACAGAGCAGAGTTTGCAGGGTGCCTCCCTCTTCTCCCCAGTCTGCAAGAAAAGGGACAGTACACTTGGTGTTGAGGACTTAGTGAATACTTAGTGAAGAGTCACGTCCCAGTAGCATAGAGTAGGGCCTGTGGCGAGAAAAGAAAGGTACCTTGGCTGCCCACAGTTTCCTCACCCCTGCATCACAAGTTAAGCTATTAATCAACAGTCTGAGAGCCCTTCATGGACTATCCCAGCCTTTCCATTATGCTGCTCGCTCGGTACCATCAGCCCTCAGCATCATCCTTTTTCACCCTTTCAATTTTGAAGGGAGAGGAGCCTTCACACCTTGTCCCAAGTGCATTTGTACCCCCTGCCTGCCTTCCTGGCCATTTCTCCTCAGATGCCTCCCTAAGAAACTCACGAGGACGTTTGCTGGGAAAAAAAGCAGACCAACTGCTGGTGGTGGCTAGACTATGACGTGCCAACCCTGGCATTGCCACTTCCTCATCCTCCCCTTTCCAAAGCATCTTCCTCCAGATGTGTAGCCACATAGGGCTTTCTCAGCGAGCACGCCCAGGGAGGCCCGTTCTGGGCAGCCTCTGGCGAGGTGGGCAGCGCTTAGGTGACATGAGAATATGAGTATCAAAGAGAAAATGAGAGAGAAGAGTAAGCTTCAAGTGTGTGAGGGGGAAACCTTGAATGGGAAAGAGAGCATCTGCTCTGAGCATTGGTGGCTGTATCAGGACTGGCATGCGCAAACCCAGGACCGGGGCAGGAGCACAGAGAGCGCTCTGGCAGCTGGGCTTACGTCCCATGCTCACGGCAGCCTCAGTTCCCGCCACCCAGGCTGGCTTGGGCCCCAAGTACCTCTTCATGGTAGTGGTGCCTGCCTGTGTTGCGTGGGGTTTTTTGCGTTTGGTTTTTTTTTTTTTAATATCCAAAATGCAGTCATGGTCACAAGACCACCACTGGATACACAGAAGTGAAACCTAGCTGGGGAATGCAATGAGGTATTGTTCACTCAGACCTTCTACCATGTTTTTCCCCCTTGGTAGTGTTTGGTTTGTTGGTTGTTTTTTTTTTCCCCCTTAATTAGGGTCATTTCAACTAAAATACCATGGGGAAACCCCAAGTACTATTTTTTCTCTCATCTCCTATCCCCCATCTCTTTCACAGATGCACAGTTTGAATTCAGCCAATACAATCCTCAGTTTTGATATTTAAGGGGTATGCAGAGCACCAAGCAAAACTACCCCTCTGGCCTTTCTTTCCCCGTTGGTAAGAAGATTGCAAACACACATACAACGGGCAAAAAAAATCTTTCTTTCCCCTTCCCCCCTGAACAAAATCAGCACGTGACACTCTCCATGGGTACATTCCCTGCTCTCTAGGAGTATAAACAGATTTAAGAGTAACTCTTGCCTTTTTTTAAAATACCAACTTGAAGTGAACATATTAGATCACCACTGAAAATCAATGATCTCTTTTTCCTTTTTGGTGCCATGAAAAGTAAGGGAAACAATAACAGTGATAGCTCAGAATGTAGCTTAAAGCACATTTTGACAGCTAACATTCTACTCACAGATGTTACATACAATCAATAAAATCACGTCTTGTAGAAAAAAAATCAGAGAAAGATCTGCAGGGCCAGAATTTCCTTCTCTGTTACTGGAGACTATTTTGAATGGTGACTCAGAGACGCTACCCCCACAAAGTCATCTATTTACATCCTTAAATGAGCTCTGTGTGACATACTATGTACATAGTGCGCGTATGTATGCAGACACAGCGTGGGGAGTCAGATGTTGTAATGAAATACGTGATGAAACGAAAAGCAGCAGCACTTCATGCTTTCTAACATCCTGACCAGCAGTTACTCTGCATGCAGCTCACTCCACCGCCTTAAAAGAAAACACGAGACTCAAGAATTTTACAAGCTGAGAAGGAGAAAAAGTTAACAACCAGAGCTAGAGACAACCCAAAGGTAAGACAACAAGAGAGAATATTTCATTGTAGTGAAACCTTGCCTTAAAAAGCTTTCTTCTTGCTACAAGATCTGAAAACTAAGTATATTTCACATAACTTGTTTTGCTTAAAGCATATCTACTTTTTTTTTTTTTTTTAAGAATGAACAGAGCTATCCTTTGCATTTATGCTTTAAATCATTTTTTTCTGGTTTGTTTAGAAATCTACACAACAGACTCTAGTCTAAAATGCCTTTTTATCATAACTAGATTTTTCTCAAGTAAAAGTCTTGGTAAGAAGCTGAAATTTTATTTCTGTAGACCCAGAATTTTCTAGACACACAAAAAAAGTACTGAAGAAAAAAGAAAAAAGGACTAATGAAATCTCCTATAGAGGCAATGAAGTAAAGGACTTTGTCGATATTTATTACTTTTTAGGAATTCCTTAATTAACTTTTCATCCCTTTAGCTCTCAGTAATGGGTTCCTTCCCAGCATTAGACTCACAGTGCTTCACTCGATGAAGGGGACTCAGCAGGAGAGCAGCATATTGGGCTGCCGAGCCTAGGCCACCCTCTTGTACCAGGCAGTATCTCTGCCCAGGTCGTCAGTGAAACCCCTTGTCTGCCACGGGCCACCTGAATCTGGAGGTTCAGGGACCCAACCCAGCTCCAAACAAGGTTTAACTCCCAGGCAGTGAACAACCAGCAGCATAACAAGGGGTGCTTCTCACCTCCAGCCACTCAGATCCCCAAGTGCTTCACAAATTCAGGCTTTCCTGTCCTTTTTTATTCGGGCGAGGGAATTTCATTATTTCCCCTCATACTTCTCTCAGTCCCTCGCAGATGGCAGCAAAGCAGGCGCTGCTGAGAGGGTTGCTGCCCCCTGAGCCATACCCCACCATGCCTTATGGGCAGCTGTGCTCTGCAAGGAAGGAGGCTGTTAAGTGCTTTACACAGCCAGCAGCACTGCCTACTGCGGGGACCCGAATAAAACCTGTACCTGCTACAGCAGGACAGAAGCTGTGGATGGATCCCTGCACCTGACCCCGCCAGAGGTATGCTCTCTTGCACCCACAGCCCTGCCAGCACCCCATCAGGCTGGGTTTCTGGAACTGATTTTCTCATTTCTGTAAACTAGTAACTTATAGGATCATTCGTCTGGCATCAGTGTGTCCTTAAGGAGCAAACAGCCAACCTGCTCTTGCTTCCTAACAATAATTGTTAGTTTTTAAGAAATAAATTTCCTTTTTGCTGATCTTAATCTCTCTCAAAGAGATCCTAATCTCTCTCAAACCACAGCACGGAAGAGCTTACCTCTGAAACACTGGGGGAGTGACTTGATCTGCAGAACAGGAACTTTTACTGCACAGTTGACGACCGGTTGACAAATCTGAAACGAAACATCAAGATCAGTAACTCGTGTAGGAAAGGCACTACGTCAAAGTAATAACAATTACAGAACAGCAGATGAAAAGTAATTTCTGGGCACTGACAGAAAGATCTTTGAAAAGCTTTATTCACAGGTTACATTTGCTGACAGAACTGGCTGGAAGAAAGGATCAGGTATCCCCAGAAACAAATGAGAGCCTTCCCAGTCCTTATCAGGAGAGTCTGAGGGCAGGATCAAACCAGCACTCTTCCTCTAAAGAGGAGAATTACTTCATGACTCCTGCTAAGAGGGTGCCTACCTCGACCTTTTTAGTCCCATCTTTGCAGAGGAGAAACCAGCTGTATGTTTGCAGCAACCCCTGTCTCTACAGACACACATTTATCCACTGTAGTTAAGTCTGGCTGGTTTACACAAAAGCTTGGGTTCTTAAATCTCATTCTCTTCCGAAAGACTTAACCTCTGCTATAAATAGCCTGTTTGAAACTTCCTGCCTGCTGCTTTTAGCAAGGTTGTCAGAAAGGCCAGAGGTAATCATACTTTGCCTAGTGGTAGTGGGAGAGGGTGCAGGATGGCGACGACTGTTTGGGATCTTCACATGAATAAACATGGGGGACTCTCATGCTCTTGGCTCCCCAAGGTCTCTTGCAATAGCTTGACTCAGGAAATCTGATACAACTAGTCGCCTCCCCAAAGTCCAAGTAATCCTAAAATCAGGGGCTGCCATCCTGGGTCTGCAAAGAGATCGCATCACTCCAAGGGGATGGTGCAGTCACATCTATACTCTGCCTAGCCTAAATTATAGGGCAGCACAGTTTGGGGTGACAGGTAACAGTGGAAGTGAGGCTTGGACACCAGAAAGCCTTGCTCCTCCTTGAGGCACAACCTTGCCCCACAATTCAGCACACAGCAGCCCAAGAGGAAAAAGCGTCTTCAGGTCTGTGGACACATAGAGACCTCATTGGCCTTTGTACCAGGTCTTAAATGTGATCTTCATCCTTCCCTGTGATTTTCTTCTCTTCCAGCATACGTGGAGATATGAACGACACCCACGCCAAGAGCAATATCAGCAATATCAGCGCTACCGTGGAACTGTTCCAGCTCATCATGTACACCCCAACATTTACCCTGGGATTGCTGTTCAATGTGATGGCTCTGTCATTCCTGTTTTGTAAGATTAAAAAGCTGTCAGAATCTACAGTCTACATGATAGCCCTTATTTTCCTGGATACTTTGCTGCTGTTTACTCTTCCTTTTAAAATAATTTCCTACCACCTTCGGGACAACTGGAACTTGGGGTCTGTGTTTTGCTCCACCTTGGAGAGTCTTTACTTTGTAAACATGTATGGCAGCATCCTCATCTCCCTCTGCATCTGTGTAGACCGGTACATCGCTATCCGGCACCCTTTCACAGCTCCCACCCTGCGATCCACCAAGAAAGCCGCTGTGATCTGTGCTGTCATCTGCCTGGGCACCTCAGCTGGGACAGTCTCTACTTTCCAACTGCATGGAGAGGGCCACAACATCTCGTCCTGCTTCCATAACTTCTCCAAGAGCACATGGGAAAACACAGGCCTGTTCAGTGCCTTGGAGACTATCTTCTTCAGCAGCATGGCAGCCATGACCTTCTGCACTGTTCAGACCGTCAGGTGTTTGAGAAAGCGCAGACAACGAGACAACCCCCAAACACACATCACCAGAGCAGAGAAGATAGTCATGACAAACCTTGTGGCATTTTTGGTCTGTTTCACGCCTTACCACATGGCATACTTGGTCTACTTTTTGGTGAAGAACAACATCATTCACACCAGTTTTCAGCAAGTGCTACGAGACATTGTTCAGGTAACCCTTTGCTGGGCAAACCTGAACTGCTGTCTTGATGGGGTGTGTTACTATTTTGTTTTAAAGGAGTCCTTGGAAGACCCATTACAAAACAGTGAAAAAACAGCCACGCGAAAGCCTTGATCCACGTGCTGCATGTTAGTTACTCGGGCCGATGTGTGGAGATGCTTTCATGGAAAGTGCAGGGTCCTGAACTACTTACCTGAGCAATTTACTTTAAATATTCAGACCTGAAAGTATTTAATAAAAAACAAAACTAAGTCCATTCCCAGGAGACTGCTCCTAACTTTTTTTATTTCCTTCCATAATGTTTTGTGTTAGCATTTACGGGTAAAAAGAAATGGAATTATTTCCTATAAATGGTGATGCATATCTCTTTGGATGTGGTTCCTCTTTACTTTGAAAAAAAAAATTCTTCACTTACGTGTGCTAGCATCTTTCAACCTCCCTGTCTATATCACACCTGCAAATCTCCCCAGGCCTTCAGTCACTATGGACTTGGGCTGCTGGGAAACAGAGGCTTAGAGTTCATGGTAAAAAGCTTCAGACTAAATTCTGTTGCCTCCCCTACCCTGATGATGTATGCTCATGCTCACATACATGCACACCTGTAAGGTTTAGATTTGCACATGCTATTTAAAAAAATAAAATTATTGTAACTCTAAATCCAAAGGCAGCTTTAGGTTAACATAGGTATAGCAAGATCTGCATGCCATTCCTCCACTGGCTGACTTGCTCTGCAGACTGTGCACACGACAAGTCTTGTGCCTACCACATCACACTTCCAACTAATATTGCCCCAGATAGCTCAGATTAATTGACTATCCCAGTTCCAGGCTTCCTCACCAGCTCCTCTTCTGCTCGCAGGCTTTTCACATATTCTGTTCCTCCCGCTTGGTTACAAACCTAGTTTCATGAACAGAGCCAAACCAAACAAAAGCATGAAATAAAAAGCCTGAGTCCAATGTAGTGGCAAACACATGAATCTGAAGGAACAACCCCCACCTTACTGGGGGATAAGATAAGAGCAGCCTGATCCCTAAAGCAGCAGCCAGCAACATAGGATCCCAGGGGGAAAGCAACCTTTCGGACCTCAGAGCAAGCTGAGCACTACCACTTCCCAAAAAAACAAGGCAACAAAAAATAATCCACCAGCAGGAGCCTAACATGCCAGTCAGTTAATTCTTATCAGTGCCCTCAGGCATCTAGATAAACTGAATGACAACATGATCCCAGCCTGGAGAGAGGCAGCTCGCTGCCCTGGGGACCCCCACTGCTGCCCCTACCGCTACCCTGGCGGCCAGCTGCCACTTTCCTGAGTGATGAGGATGATGACAACCGAAGCAATTAGTTTTCATATTCATGTTGAGCTGGATCCTTGCAGTGTATCTTCTAGGCAGAGATACTAATCCCAGCCTTTGAACTGTCTTTTCTCTGTACACTTTTGAGAATAACGCACAAACCGTGTATTGATTTCTTCCCTGAGCTAGCGACTTTGCATGTGGGGACTCCAGTCTGTAAAAGTGAAATTTTTTGAAGTCGCTATATCTATGTATGAGATTGTACCAAAGAAGTCCAGTTGCTGAGGAGGGAAACACTGACCCGACATAGACGTAAGTGTGTGTTGGTGTTTACAGAGTCCTTTTGGCGTTCAGCTGATGAAACGTGCTTCTGAGGATACACGGGCTGTGCATTTACACTAGCCATGTCCTGGTTATGTCCAAGTGCATTAAAATAAAACCCACCAGGATATTCCAGCAAGAATTCCCTCTCCGTATCAATTTCCATTTCCATTGACTCCCTCAGTAAATTCAGAATATCTGACTAGATTCCCTGCCAGCAGAAACTGAATCATCATCTCCTTGTTCATAACTTATCCCTTAACTAATTGCACTTCAATAGACACAAAGGTTTTACCACTGAGATTTCAGACTCCTTTTGGAAGCAGAGTTTACAAATAATAGAAGAAAATAGTGCCGACGCAGATGATTTATTTTACATTTGAAAGCAGCAGGCCAGGCCAAGAGGGCCTCCACTTTAACTGATAATGCCTGAACATAGGGAACAGGGATTTTGTCAGTACCTCAGGAGGCAGAAAATGCCAAAGTATATGAGGAAACTGATCTCAATTGCATTTCTATAGCCTGAGGCAGCTCCATTAGTTTTACTGACATGACTTTGGGCTTACACTGCTATAATTGAGACTAGAAGCTCATCTGTAGTTTTATGCTTCCTGTTGCTCAGCTTTTTTTTCCATTTTTAAGTATGCCTGTTCTTATTTGTTTGTTATCCTGCTGTCCTTGGTCCCACAGATCATAAAGTAACTTGCACTGTAATTTCATTTAGAGTGCTGGTAGACAGTAGCGAGATGAATACCAAAATTAGGAATTTTCGGCTTGGCTACCTCCCTCAGCAGTAACACACTGCTTAGAAGAGGCAGGGATGTTGATCAAATTAAGCATAGTTAAAACTATATGAAGGACACGTTAAAAGCATTTGAGGCATTTCTCCTTCTCCCCTCTTCCCTAGGTTTCGCCAGCATTTCTGGCCATTGATTTTTTTCTAGAAACAGACAGGCTGAGGTGTGGAAATGCCACTATCTCCCCACAGACAGGGTCCAGCCAACCACCGTCTGAGCTCCCTGCCTCTACACCCGGCTCGCAGTGCCTCTGCCAGCTCTAAGAGAGCACTCATTATCAGGGCAGGGTAACAACTTTCATTCTAGATTTCTGGGGGAAATGATAATTGTGCAAAGGCAACATTTTCTACTCAAAAGTTCTCCGCTGGATCTTATTGCTTCTAGGCCTCTGAACATTCACTTCCCAGGTCAAATCTGGTGTGGTCTGATCCATTCTCTTTGCTCAGGTGGGTAGCTGTAACAGCTTTTTCATTTGTAGGGCTTTATATCCAAATCATGACACTGGGTATCTAGTGAGACTACAGAGATTTCTGTTTGCACCAAGAGAATATTAAAGACATAGAGTGCTAGGAAATAAAAGGAAAAATTCTGAAAATCTGCAATCTAAAGCCATCACAGGCTTTCCAGAATACAGGTAATGATTCACCTGAGGAAAAAAAGAAAGCAAAACCCAGGATTTGTTCGGAAATTATTCACCCCTAAGAACTGAGGACTCATTCCTAACACATACAGTTCTTAGCTAAAAATCATTAATCATTCTGAAAGAATGAGAATGGGGGCTAGAGAGCTGTTATGGAGCACTTTTTTCACCTGCATTTGTTTTTGCATTTGTAGAGTGAAAGGGAAAGGGTTTAAACCAGCACTGAAAGCATAGCAGGTCACGGGAGGAGGTGAAGCTGCTCTGCTGGGGAACTTCACCCTTTGGGCCAACCAACCCATTTCATTTGAGAGGCCTTTCACAAAATGCAGCCTGAGGCTGCTGGATTTCTTGCCAAGAGATCTGTCTTGCAGACATTCATACATGTATGGTATTCACATAAGTAATTTTCCTACTCATTTATTTGCAGGTTTCACTAAAAGACTGGGCATGTGTTTCAGCAACTTTGATATTTTACACTTAAACAAGCCAAATGTCCTGTTTCCTGCAGACTCACTCACCTGGGAAAGCAGTGAAGTTCAAACGTAGGTATCCACTAACTCGGCACATCTGTTCTTTGCTTTCCAAATTTCTTTTCTTCTTGTACAGCTATTATCTTGTGTTTCAGGCTCAGGAAGTATCTATTTGGATTGGGAAGGAAAAAGGTTTAAAAGAAAACATCACTGATGATATTTGCATATAACCACGGAAATTCCAACCAAAGCATTCATCTCCCAAAAAGAATGAATCAGCACAGGTACCAGGCATGCAGTATCCCCTACAGATTTCACTACTGCCTTCTACGTTTCATGAGAGATGCCCACATACAATGAATGGAACAAAATATTTACCATGAGCAGTGCCACATCTGTGGTCAGTGATAATGAGAAAAACCTCAGAAAAGCAAGTCTCAAGAGAAATGCATAGGTTTTTATGAAAATTTTCATATGCATACGCTCCTCTCAAAGTGATCTTAACATTTCTATTGCACTAGAGAGGGTTAAAATTGTCCTTCGTTTTCTCTGCACATGACAGACAGCACCATGAGCTAAAGATGAATCTGTAGCACTCTAGATGCTAGGGAGAAGCCCTCTGAAAACTCTCACCAGCAAGAAGTGTGAAATAGTTAATTTTACCATGGAAGTAGAGTACTACAGATAGGCACATGCAGAAATCGTACGTGCTCACTTCACAGTTATTTCCCCACACAGTAAAGCTGTTTGTGTGCTCTTTTCATCTGCTGCATTTACTGGTGGTATGAGATGGAAGTCTCATAAAGAAGCAAAAACGTCCCAAGTGACACAATATAGTGACGGAGCATTCCCATTGCTGACCTTCCCATTGTGACAGAGACAAACAGAGTCCTGGATGTGTCCAGTTTCGGTGGGAGGATACTTTCAAACTTGACCTGTGCAGCTCGCTCCTAGATTTGCAACTGGCCAGTGCAAAACTACAATTCAATCAAGTGCTCCAGCTTGCCTTACTCAGCCCTGTCTTCATCCTCCCTTCCCTTTCACGTGCCTCCGTCTTCAGCTTTTTGGAGGCACTGAATTTTCTAGAAATGCTGAGACTTTTCCCTCCATCGGTGTCGTGATTTAACCCTAGCCAGCAACTAAACACCACACAGCCTCTCGCTCACTCCCCCCACCTCCAATGGGATGGGGGAGAGAATTGGGAGAATACAAGTAAGAAAACTCATGGGTTGAGATAAGAACAGTTTAATAATTGAAATAAAGTAAAATAGTAATAATAATAATAATAAAAAAAGAATATACAAAGCAAGTGATGCACGATGCAATTGCTTACCACCCACCAACTGATGCTCACCAGTCCCCGAGCAGCGATCACTGCCCCCCAGCCAACTCTCCTCAGCTTATATACTGAGCATGATGTCATACGGTACGGAATACCCCTTTGGCCAGTTTGGGTCAGCTGTCCTGGCTGTGCCCCCTCCCAGCTTCTTGTGCACCTGGCAGAGCACGGGAAGCTGAAAAGTCCTTGACTAGCGTAAACACTACTTAGCAACAACTAAAACATCAGTGTGTTATCAACATTATTCTCATACTA